AATTGGGGGAATCTTACCACTTTCCTTTCCAAAAATCATTCCTTGGGCATGTTTTCTATGATGTTCATCCCTATAGCACCTTAACTCTTTCGAACTAATCATGAATATTTCTTTAGAATATTTTTGAAGCTAGGAAAAAATAACTCTCGCCTCATATATGGGAGTCCAGGTTACAAACAGATAATCATCAAAAGATTGTATGAATGTTGGGTGCCTGGTTTTAGTTTAAGACAGATAGAATGTAATTTTTTTCTTTTCAAATTGCTCCAGCTGTAGCTCTGAGTGCTCAGCAAATTGGAACCTTGAAAATCCAGACACTGACAGAGCTTGGGGAGAAAAATCCCATCCTAACTTCAGATACCTATATCTGAGTCAGTCGCCTGGACCTCTTCTACTAGTCAGTGGACAGAAACAGGTCAGATAAACTGTGATACGCACACGTGCACGCACATACGCGTGCACGCAAGCACACACGCAGAAGCTTAAAAGAAACCAAAACCTGAAATGCATTATGTTAGTCTTAAATTTCAAAATCTGATTTTTGGAATCCTGTGATTGCATGAGAATTAAATATTTGCTTTAGCTTAAATTGTCTTTCCAAATAATCCTAAACCAGAAACGCAATAAAATAGTCCCAAATGCTGTACACGTTTATAAGTCTTGCTGTTTGAATTGCGTACAATTTCGGGATTGCTAAAGTCTTTATTTTAAGTGGTTGAGCTGGGAATATCTGTAGGAAATCCTGATTCTGTGATCATTGCTAAAGTATTCTGTGATTATATAACAGTAAATCATGCCATAGTTTGCAAAACAGAAACTAAATAGGGATGTCTCTCATGTGGAAGATAACTACTGCGTTGTTACTCAGCACAGCTTTTAGCGTAGGTACCTAAAAATCAGGCTGCAGGCTAAAAACAGCCATGCTAAATGTTCATGAAAATTACCTGCCTAGGCACAAATCGTCAGACTTGAGGATGCTCCCTGGCAACGTGAGGAGCGAAACTTTAGCATCTGACTGACTTCTGCCTTCGGGTACTCTGCCTCACAGCTGAAGCATGAAGACAGATTATTTAAGTAAAAGATTTTCAGTCTCTCTGGTCTCAAATGAGCAGTGTTTCTTCATCTGTCAGGATAACGTAGCTGTGTGTAGGTATCTCTGTGTCTTCTACTCTCAGGTCTTGTAAACTGCCAGATAGACCTTTGTGTGTCAAATCCTCCTTTCACACATACTTTTGTGGTTTGCAACTGTATTATTCACCGCTCCCCACGTACATGAGTTACAGGCAGCAAAAGAGCAGTGTGTGTGTGGCTGACTGTGACTAATTTCCAGAGCCTGTGCCCTGACCGGACTGGTTGCGTGGCAAGCTCACCTGCAGAAAGAGAGAAACGCCCAGTATCTACTTATTTGAAATTCTTCCAATGGTAAATATTCAACCTGCAGAATCTGGTTGTTTGATATGGTTGTGAATGAGAGCAACGCCCTCCACGTGCTTCCTTTTGGGTACTTGGGAGACTGCAGAGTAGGCTGCCACCCGTCTCGCTCATTTAGCTGGAGGATGGACTAGAAGCAGCGGTGGCCTGGTTGAGAACAGGCTTTTCTAGGTCTGTTTTTTCCCCTTATACTCTCTGTGCGGCTCTCATCTGAGCTAGCTCTTGACTTGGCAGGCAAATAATCTTTTAAGGGATATACGCAGGCATACAGTCTTAAAAGCCGGATGATCTGGAGGCCTGGCCCTGGCGAGGTTATGTTGCTGGGCTGGGTGGCCTGTTTTCGTCAGGATATACTTTTTTTTTTCCCGCTAGCAATTCACAGTCGTTACGCAACAGCTGGCAAGCGAACACCTGAGAGTCAGCTCTGCTATGAGTTGCTCTTTGCACATCTCCCAGGTCTTACAGCTGGTAAATGCGATTTAGCGTGGTGACTTGTCATGAACAAAGAAACGTAATGAGTGGCTTCAGAGCACCAGTAGTTCTCAACTCCTGTTAACGTGGAAACGAACGCCGGCGTCTCTTTACCCAGTGTCTCTTCACCCGAGTGCCGCGCTGTGTGTGAACCTGCAGCTGAAGTCAGGGAAATGCGAGAATTCAGTTTGCATTTTATCTATCTTTTAACTTCCTTTTAACAGTCTTTTTCGCAGGCACTTGCTTTCAGCAGCATGCTGCTTAATGTTTTAGTAAAATAAAGCATGAAGCCTTGATATGATAAATCTATTTCATCCTGTTTTAGGATGAGCAAATGTTATGCTGTTTGGTTTTGTTTTTTCCCCTCCAGCTATGCAGAACTTTGCATATGTGCCTTGTGCGTTTCTGTGCCTTCATATGACAAAGATTACCAGTACCAGAAGATTACAGTTAAATAGCTTTACTACTGCTGTGTAGTTACACACTGCAAGTCATCTTAAACTACATTTAAATCACGGAATTGCATGTTGGATTTGAAAGAGTATTTAATCTTAAAGAAGGTTTGGTTACTGACCCGGAGTTATGTGCATTCCCTTTAAATGTTCCCTCTCAGGCCTCATTATATTTTAGTCTTTTTGTCGCTTTCCGTCAATTTGCAAATATCAAAGCTCAGTGTAGATGTAAGACAGCCTCTAGGAGGTGGTTGGTGTTGTGGATGGAGCGCTGCTGTCTGCAGGGAGGGAGGAAAAGTGCCAGGGTGCTCGCAGAAACCAGCTGTTGCTTTCACTAGTCGCAAGAGCAATTCTCTTTTTTTCCGGGGTAGATCTCTTCTCTAGAGAAATGGTCTCAAGTTCCTGTGAAAAGCTGTTTCATGTTCTTGGGGTGGGAGGAGTCCCGGTGAAAGCCTTTCACAGGGAAATCCTTTCATTAAGTATACACATTCCTGATCCAAGGAAAGATCCTCTGAACTGCAGAGTGAACTTTGCCAGCCGTTGCTTCTGCCTGTGATTAAATTGGTTCATTAGCTTGTTTTTTCTAGTGCGATAGGATGAATCTAAACTAGAAATTCCTCCTCCTGATGCCTTTGAGCTATCAAGAAGTTGCTATTAGCAAAAGCAGAACATCACTTATAATGAGAGTTTGTGACCGAGTTTTGAAGAGGAGCAGAGATGGAAAGTGATAGCAGAGCTTGCCCCTGTTTGCTTTCTGCACCCACGGTGTCAATGTTGTTTCAAAGGTGTCGCAGTTTAGCCATGCAGGTTTGCCTCTGCTTTTTCACCCTTCGGAAGCAAGTAAGAAACAGCTCAAGTGTGCGGCCCTGCCGTTTGCAGTTTCTCTTGTAGCTGTCTGGTTTCAGGACTGCCATTGCAAAGCTGAGCTCGTGCATTGGCTCCTTAAAGCTCGCTCTGTGACGGCTCTGCCCTGTTGATCCACCCTGAGCGAGACCCACAAAAGTCTGCGCGCAACCACACAGCTGCAAGCCGTTGTGTTGGCCCGCTGCCAGGTTAGGAGTCATGTCACTTGTTTCAGCTGTGTTGGGACTCCCCCCACTTGCTTTGGTAAGTCAGCGTGGATCGTAACAGGCTGCCTTTAGCTCCTAGCCAGAGCGTTTCTGTTCTGTGCTATTGCATGGGTTTCCACTGCAGCGCCTGTGGGGGTGCGTTAGGCAGCGTGGGTGGGAGAGGAAGTCTCCATATTACTCTGAGTGAAGGCTTCAAAGGGATCTTCATCGGCTAGAAAACAGATGGCTGTGGTTTAAATCATTACAGATGTTTGCGGGATGGATCAAGATAGGAAGGATCGCTAAAGGAAGAAGATCCTTCAGCGATGAGGGAAGGAGAAAGAAGGCAAAGTGAGTTTTTAGTAGCTACGCAGTCTTCAGGTTTGGTTTTTGGTTCCAACTGGCTGTTGATGAATTCAGAAAAAGCCTTCAGTCGCTTTTGTATTACAGAAACCCTTTTCTCCTCATATTTGGTAGAATCTGATTTCTTCCAGATGCAATACCTGTTTTTCAGCTTCTTAGTACCAGCTGTATTCATGTTTCATTGTAAGTGATTATAATGCTTTTGTTCTGTTAGAATAGGTGATGCTTTTCTGGGTAAGAGAAGGTGGCCTGGTGCTGGGGTTGTAGCTTGAGATGACTCAGAGGATGCAAACTATTTCTTGCTCTTTAGCGACTTCTCTTTTACCTCAACTAAGTCACGTTGGTCTCTCTGTTCTCATTTTTCAGTTGTAAAACAGGCATGCTGTGTTGTCCGTACTACCAGGGCTATTTGGAGCATGAACGTATTAAAGACGAGGCAGGAGTAGCTAGTCTGAACTACTGGTAGTGGTTATATTAAAAATGACTTTAAGTTATTTGTTATTTTTCTGTCTGTGTGATACCTTTCAACTTACATGATCTCCAGTAGCGTTTTACAGACCTTGCTCTGTATTCTTTAAAGACGATCCCTTCTGAGACCAAGAACAGCAATCCTGGAGACTGCTGAATGGGCAGCAGTGCTGAGGTAGCTTTTGACAGAAGATGAAATCCCTGTTTACGTTTCCCCCCTCGCCTTGTTCATGCTATCTGGGGATCTTCAAAAACCATGGAGCTTTGACGGAACTTCTGTAGACTCATCTGAAAGCAGCTCACGTAGGAAGTCACTTTGAGCTCTGTCTGATCTTCTATTAAAAAAATAAAAATTAAAAAAGATATAATAAGCCAAAGCTTGATGTGTTTTAAAACTATAAGTGACATATTTAATGTAATATATATTAGAATATTTTAAGTGGGTAAGAATGGGTGGATATTTTTGTCATGTCTTCTTTTAGTCTTTAAAGACTAAGTGCGTTACAGTAAGATGAATGTACGTGTGTTTGGATTTTCTGGTTGCGTTGCAAATTCTCTGGTTTGTTTTAATTCCTTCGTTGTTATATTGCAGGGTAAGATTTGGCTAATAGATTTTAACCCCTTTGGTGAAGTAACAGACTCACTGCTGTTTACATGGGATGAACTGATCTCTGGGAAAAACTTGAAAGGCGACCAGAGTGAAGAGGAAGCCACAGAACAGGTACAGTCCTGCTGTGAAAGGAGGCTGGCTAGTGAATCCGCGAGGCGGTTTGGCCTCAGGTCCTTCTTTGTTACAATAAAATTGATATTCAGATTCCACTGAAGTAAATGCATGCCCTAAACTCTTGAAATGTAAACTCTTTGGAAGTATCCGTTTAGACAGCGCTTAATTTCAACAAGTACCATTTCCTAGTTTTAGATGCATACGTGGAAATTTGTAGCTCATACAGCACAAGCCCTCATTACAGCTTTGACCATGTTGCGAAGAAGGTGCCCTGAAACTTGAGATTTTTTGCCTAGTCTTGATATGTCTTACATTTCTTTCCATTTTGATTTTATCTCTTAAAATCTGTTACATTTTATTTATTCACTTAAAGTTCTGCTTTGTTCCTAGTCCTTGTCATGTAATCTCCCCAAGCTTCAGATTTATGTTTGATGGGATACAAAAAGAAGCTGAAATTCTGTATCTTCCTCCTATCAAGTACCCTCAGGGAAGCCTTGTCCTTTGGTTGAACTCCCTGGACTTGCAGAGCAGGGCTGTCCTATCCCTGGTCCCAGCTGCATTGCCTCTATACAAAATAACTCCCTGTTAATAGAGGGAGGGAAGAACAGTCTTCATTTATTAGTAACAGCTTTTTCCTCGTTGCATGACTGAGACTCCAGTCGTCCAACCTAAACGTGACTACTTGGATGACTGGATAGAAGATTTAAAGTAGCAAGTTCCTTGCTCTTCTTGTGAAACACTCGTTGGTTATCTGAGGAGAGTTGGCTAGTCGGACAGCGTGGGCTGCTCTTCAGTGTCTAGCTGCTAAATTGCATTAGGAGTAACTGAAACGACATGCTTTATTGAGCTTATTTTAAAATCTGAGCTCGCTCTTCAGTTTCTTCACCGTTTTTGTAACTCATTTAGAGGGAGATATACTTGTCGTGCTGCTGACCGTTCATGCTGTTATCTCATAGTTTCATAATGTGGCTCTTCCCGTATGAAAATCCTTTCTGTGGGCCTTTCTGCTAAAAGTTGTCTCCTTTGTTAAAACACAGTCTAATTCTTGAGCCATCCGTGGGAATGCTATCCAGCAAATTTTGTTTGGAAGATTTCTTGGCGTCAGAAGTTTTACAGAGCTTGTCTGATGTAACCCTGAGTGACAGTTATATTTGTAAAGATGGATTTAAGCAAGAAACTTGTGAAGACAGATTTAGGGTTTTTATTATGAAGGTTCTCTGTGTCCACATGCTAAGGTAGGTGCTATTGCCCAAAGTTCTCGATGGCTCTGTTGTTATGGCCCTATTATAAATTTATGTATATTACTGATATGAAAAATAATTCATACATTCTAGAGACTTTGAAGTGAGGACAGGAACGCCTTTACATGGTGATTAGTAATACTAACTCTTGCTCATAAGTAGGCAGAGTTTTTATAAGAAAAGTTAAAATTGGTAGGGTGCAGAGTAGTTGAGTGAGTACCGAATAAACTCATTGGCAAGGTGACTCAGACAATCTCCCTGAGGAGTTTAAAAAACATCACAAATATTATTCACAGACACTGTTTGTTTCTGTGTTATCCAATATCTTTCCCAAAGGACTATCCAGTTTTCCGTTGTACGAACAGCAGAGTTACTGTCCAGCCTAGCCCATACCTGAGTTACCGACTGCCGAAAGATTTTGTGGACCTTTCTACAGGAGAGGATGTTCACAAATTAATTGACTTTCTTAAACTGGTAAGCAGCAGAGTAAAAATTTCTGACCTCCCATCTCTGTGAAATGGGAACATCGAAGTGCCTGCAATTGTGCTTTTGCAATTAACCCAGAAAATGTAATGGGTGGAGCCCTAATGCGGTACATTGGGCTGATTTTTTTTCGTCTTCTAGTAATGAAGATCAAGCTGTCATACTGATTTCACTTCATCTGATTTTATCTTTAGGGGAAGCAATGAATGTAATTTGACAAACGTTACTGAAGAACCTGACTGTTTTTATTTAAATATAAATGCAGATAGAGACTAAATGGAAATCTAGTTCTTGATTGGCTGAAAGCTAATGCTTTTAAGAACTTTTTTTGAAAGCTGGAAGAGAATTATTTCAGAGAAAACGTCAACAATTTGGTGCTGCACCTTTTTTTTTTTCTCCAGATGAAAGGACGTTTTTTGGTACCTTTGGAAACAGTTCTCCATGACATCTTTATAAGGTGGCGGGGGGAGGAGGAAATTGGGTTGCCTTCATGTAGACCACTGAGTTCTGCATCATGTTTTCTGTGTGGTGTTTTTTTTTTTTTATTGGTTAACATATGGTGCTAATTTTATTCTTTACCGTAAATAAAATACCATACCTTTTTGGGGGAAGGAGTGTGTGGGGAGAAAGAAATTTGATGTTGCTGTGTTTTGTCTGCTAGAAACATTATCACCTGCCATTCAAAAAGTGATTTTGAAATACAGTCTAATTTCCAGCATATCTCAAAGGTACTTGTAGTGACTTATTACTTTAATTTCTGATAATTGTGTCCTAACTTGATCAACTCTTTTCTTTCCTTGACAGAAAAGAAATCAGCAAGATGACGACTGAGCTATCAAGAAGTGTTGTGTTGCATTGCATTACAAGCAAGAAATGTGGCAAAAGCCATATTTAGCGTAATTATTAAACTATCAATTGAAAGAAAATCTGCTTTTTTCTATTTAATGAAAGAACTGAAGAGCTGCATATCCTGTGGGTTGGTTTATATAAAAGTGTAGAAAAGCTTTTCCATGGAAATGTGAAGGGTCAGCCTGAGCCCTCATTGGATTCCAGGTTAGATGCAAGTATACCGTGGTGCATGCAAGCAACAATTTGAGTGCAGCTGAACGACTGACTTCCCATCTCAATGTTGT